CAATTTATCCGGCTAAGCGACATAAATTGATTAGCTCACTCTCTATTATGTTAATTTATGACTTGGGGAGGGCTCAACTTGATCAGAGGATTCATGTCTCTTTCTATTTATCGCCATAAGAGGAATGTAAGCACCTTTAGATCAATTTCTTCTAATCATTAATAAAAAGCACAAATATTTTTTTTTCCTGAGAATGATCATGTTTCCTATGTGGATTCTACTAGGAATAGAGCTATTAGTGGCTTCTTTGATGTTTGTGCTACTTGGAGTAGACATTGTCCTTTAATTAAGCCTCATGTTGTACTATATTCTTATTGAACTTCTGCCAAAAAGGCTCATGACATTAGCAAGAACTTCTGAGGCCCTGTTTGGCAAGCACCCCAAACCATAGTTTGGGGAAAATGTTAGCCAAACAGAGATAGGAAATGTGAAACAATGGTTTGGGGTCAAACCATGGTTTTGAACCCCCAAACCATGGTTTCACCAGAAGCGGTCCAGAGTTGCTTCCTAGCTCAAATTATTGGAACCTTGCTGTGGGCCTAATACGGATGACAAAAGAGTCCCCTTTCCTGGCTCAAATAATTGATTCATTCCCCAGTCGGTCCCACGCATTTGCTCTTCCTTTCTTCCTTTGCTTTTTCCTCCTTCACAGAACGACTCGCTGCTAGTGAAGAAGTCACCATCCAGTCACGGTTTGAAGGCACCGGTGAGAGAAATCGTAGCTCTGTAGAAGAAGATCGCAGCTCTCAGTTGTGAGTTCTGTCCATAGTTTGCTCGGGTTCGTTCGCTGTGAAGCATTCAGCAGTGGTGGTTTGGTGAGGTCACGGTCGGTGTTCCTTGGCTCAGATCCGGCACTCAGGTAAGGGGTCTCCTCTTGAAAAATCAATTCTTCCCTCATGCGTTTTCTTCTTCTCCATGGCGTCAAAATTCTGTCTACTCTTGTCCTCTGCTAACTTTCTCGATGCTTTTAGAGGTTTCATCCTCTTCTATTAATTTCAGTGCCAATTTAGCTCAATTTTCGTTTCAGTATTTGTGGATTTTGGATCATATTTGTAATTGCAAATTTGCAACTTGCAAGCCAAAACCATAGCCGGCTCTGTTTCTTCTTCTACCTATGGCGACACCATGTATAATCTTCCATGACACTTTGTTTTCGACCTTCTTCTGCTTCTGGATAGATTTGCTTTTGTTAATTACAATCTAGGGTTGAGCCTGATTTATGGTATTTTTGGTTGGTTTATGCGTGTTCTGCCAACATACTCTGGTGATTTTTTTTTTGTTGGGTTCTGAGATCTGTTTCCATTATCTGACCGTAGTTAATTTTTTTTTTTCAATGCGGGCTTGGGGTATTTGGTTGGTGCTGATTTTGCTTGGTTGATAGTTGTGACTGACGTTTTGCTTCAGTGGTGGGTTGATTTTCATTCGTGGATTCATTTGTGTAGCTTGGTTTATCTGATTTCGGTTTGCTTCCATGGTTGAAACCGAAACATCGTGCTACTTTCAGGGATGGTCTTTGCTTTCAGGGTCAGAGGACCGGTTTTCGGTCCATATAGTTGACTAGTTTTTCCAGAGACATATATTTGTAATCCTTATATTTTATCTTTTGTAATCCTCTTTTTAATGAAATTATAGGATGTTGTATTTGTGGTAATTAAAATTAATTTATTTAATTTTTTTCTTGTCATGAAAGGAATGGGAACATAGTTTCATTTTATGTTGGGTTAAAAAAATTAATTACATATTATAAATACATAGATTGAATTTCTTTTTATTTTAAATAATACTGAAGGAAAGAAAAACGTTAATATGGTATTCATAGCTGATTTGGGTAACAATGACACTTGTTATTTCAATTGATTTTGAGTTGATTAACTTGTGATGACTAAAGAACTATAATTTTGCTATAGCATAATGGGTAAGGATATAGTGAAAGCTTCCTGCGACCTGCGAACCACAAAAGTGTTTATTGACCTGTGCATTGAACTAGTGTAACAAGGGGAAAGAAAAGGTACAAGCTTAATAAGGAAAGCTTGGGATATTTTTGGTGATAAGTTTACTGTCAAAACTAGGAGAGTGTACACAAAACCTCAATTTAAGAACAAATATGATTCCCTTCGAAAGGAGTGGCAAACATAGGATAGGCTGCTTCGAGAGACAGGTTTGGGATGGGATACTGAAAGGAATACTGTCAGTACAACTGATGATTGGTGAGAAAAGAAAATAATGGTAATTATTAAACCTTTTGATCTTATATTTTTTCTGCCCGAAAATAATGTGTTTGTTTAGGTATTGGGCCTTTATCTCTGTTGATAGCCAGTTCTATCTCATGTTTGGGTCAACTCATATGAGAGCTTTTCTCAAAGAATTGCTTTCCAGTTTGTTCGTCCAGAGTGAGGATCACAATAATTCCTCATTCATGCACGTTAGTTGTGAACTTGCTCAAAATAGGGATAATATTACATGATATATGTCACACGTGTTTTTTTTTAAATGTTTTTTTTTTCTAGTGTTACTTTTTCTTTTGTTAGTTGTTGCATGATTTTGTTTAGTTTTGAATGTTATAGGCTGACCTTTTCTTTTAAGTTTATTTAGGCTTTATTTAAATTAATCAAATGTGATTGGTTTGTCTTGTTATTCTTTTCTAGTTTTAAATGTTCTAAGCCGATTTTCTTTTTAAGTTTATTTAGAATGTACTTAAATTAAACGAATGTGATTGGTTTTCCTTTTTATGTAATTATTTTACTTAGTTTGAATAAAATTATCCTTTTATAAAAAATAAAGAGAAATGAATTGTTTATCTTCACTTAATTTAAATATAGCCTTGTATTTTGTTAAAAATTTTGATTCTAAATTTGATTTTTTTTTCATTGTATCATTTTTATATCAATAAAATAAAAATTATAAATAGATTGTGTTTATATTTTTTGAATTTAATTTAATTATATAATTATATAAAAATATAAAAATAATTAGAATTTAATCCACAATATGACACAATGGTAATTTTTTTTTTCAAGGTTTAAAAAAGGATAATTAAAAACAACTAGAAATCAAGAAACTTCTATTATTGACAAGCCTATTTAGTGTTTAACAAGCCATTAAATTTACACGGATTAAAGAGAATGATGATGACATAGGTTTTCAATGCATTTATATTTCGTGGCATATAAATAATTTGAACAAAAATTAAAGACCCATTTATTTAAGCCTAAGAGACAAGTCATTATTTTATTATATTTTAGAGATTTTATGAAAAGTGATTTATTATGTAAAGATTTTTAAAGATAATGTATATTAAATACTCCTCTAGTTAGAGCCGGGAAAACGGGCTGAGCCTATCGGGCCGGCCCGTTTAGGCCCTGAAATTATGAGGGCCGGGCTTGATATTTTTCTCTTAAAATGAGAAATAAGCCCTGGAGGGCCGAGGGTTTACAAGGGTCGGCCCTGGAGGGCCGCGGGCCGGCCCTTTTAAGCCCTTTTATAATTTTTTTATTTTTTTAATTTTTTATATAATATTAATGTTATTAATTTTTTACATTGTTAATAATATTTCAAATATTTAGTTATTATTATCATTTTAAAATTAAATTTAGTTTTAGACAGTAATTTATCCAATTAAATTTTTAAAAAATAGGTTAATTTGGACTTTAATAATGATTTGATTTATATTATATGCGTTGATATTTTTAAAATATATATATTTGATAATAGAATATTTTTATACTTATATAACTTGTGATTCTATAATTTGAATTAGAAATTCATGAGTTTCAACAACAATGTTTCTCACATTAAAGTAAAATAATAGTTAGATTACAAAATTTAAAAATAAAATTCTTATAAAGAAGAAAAACTTGATATTTTTGTTACGAAAGAAAATCATACTTATGAAGAAAAGTAATTAATTATAGTGATGATGAAGTTTCAAAAGATTAATGATAGTGTTTATTTATTGCACAATTGCATTATAGATAAAACTTTTAGATGTTGTTATCTTGTTAATGAATGTTTTAGATGTTCTTAGATGTTGATGAATATTTATATATGATGATATTTTATATTTGTAACTTAATTTTATTCATATTTATGTCTTTTATTAATAATTTTATTGGTTTATTTTTATATTTTTATAAAAAAATATGATAAATATAAAAAAATAGTATTTTTTCTTAAACGGGCTAAAAGCCTGCGGGCCGGCCCTGGCCTTGTAGCTTAAGGGCCGGGCCTAGCAAATTGGGGTATTTTTAAAATTTCAACCCTGGAGGGCCGGCCCTTTTAAGCCCGCTAGCCTTGAAGGGCCGGCCCTGATTCCCGGCTCTACCTCTAGTCCTTAATATAGGATCCAATTGTTATGTTGATTTTGACACTAAATATAAGACATATTTCTCATATTTATCAATTTTCTCTAAATTACCTTTATGAATACTCTTTCAACCATAATTAAGTTAAAAAGAAAAAGAGAGTATTAAAAAATATGATTATGGTGTTTTAAAAAAAACATGTCACATTTCTTACAATTAACTAGCTTACCTAACCTCTTTAATCTAATCAAATTAGTTAAATAGATCTTATATCACGGACTGAAAGAGTAAGTGTTTAATTTTATGTTTGAAAGATTAAATAAACATGATAAAAATTTCCAAAAATAAGTGACTTTTTAACGGAAAAAAAATTAAACAAGCATGCCCTTAGATGGCTACAAATTAAAAAAAAGTTAGCATACAAGATATAAATTCTTTAAAAGAAACTTGAACGCTTCATATGGTTGAATTAATCCAAGTAAACATCATCCACAAATTATCCTCAAGTTTTTTCGCCAACACAAACATCCTCAAGTTACAGCAGCGAAAAGTGAAAACGGGTTTAGAAAATGGAAAACGGATGACAAACCTCCATGGTCTCAGGAGATAATAACGGTCCTTCGTTGAATCTGCCAAGGAAAATTAAAAAAACAAAAATTGAAAAGCGGGGGGGGGGGGGGGAGTTTGGAGTCCGGAAGATTGTGATGAATGTGTGAGCCGCTAGATGTCTGCAATTCTGAATGCTTCATCAGTAGTCCAAAAGTAAGATACATAGTGAACCATCTTTTTAGAAATACAAGGGGCCTAAGAAAAGGGTTCAAATTACTGCAAATTCCTACGCCGTTACCTAACTGAGGAGGAAGAAGAGGAGAAAAGAGAAGGGGGGTGTTTACATAGAAAAACGTTCCAAAGTTCTTTTCTACTGCAAAGATAGTAATCTTTACAGTATCTTTTCAGTGATCCTCAAAAACCATCCTTCATGCCAATCTTGATGTTTTGCACCGTAACTGACAACTCCGACTTGTGATCCTCAACAGCTTTCAAAACCGAAAGCAAGTTGGACCGGTAAATTTCACACTTGCGGTTTGCAGATTGAAGCTCACTCATCAGTTCTCTAATATTCTTGTCCATATCATCCTGCTAATACAAAACATCAAGTTTGAATAACTGACAACATATCTGACCATATATGATCGATTATAAATGTACGAGACTAGACCATGGAAACAAATGGGACTTTCATTTACAACGAATGAATTAAACTTCCTCTACCAAATGCATGCAAGAAAAAAAGCGACCCGGAAGTAATCTATGCAACATTTTTAAAGATGAAAGTCTACAACATCACGCTTCTGTTCCATCATAGATAGAAGTTAGAGAGCGGAAAATTTACAAAATTTTGGGCTAAAAACTCAAGTACCTACAGCAATCATATTTTGACAGATGAGATGACCAATTCTCGTCTAAAAACTTAGGATCAATTCAACTACAATCGAGAATGCATGGTTTTAACCAACGAAAAAGAAAAAACTAAATTACGTGGTAATCTGTAAGTGACAGGAAGATTAGTTCCTTGGTGTTACAAGAGAACGTAAAACGAACTCCTAAAGTAGATACAATTGCACACAAGACCATGGGAATTTAATGGGGTCCCCAATGCTGTAGGTATCATATCATGGTGATTAAACAACCACATAAATGCGATAAAACTTGGGTTGCCTAGATCCAAGCTTCTGCACCACAAGCGATGGTCATGTCTCACCCAGATATATGGGATGGCATTTTGTTATAGTAAACTATGGCTCAACCAATTCAGTCTAAAGCACGTTAATGCCAAATAGTAACTGTTAGGGATTTTCATCCTTTTATTCTTGTCTCAAAGATCCAATTTTGTTCAATCATTAAATGCCTAACATTCTCTCAAACATTTTGCTGCATTCCTATGCTCCCCACCTAGCAAACATAAACTAATAAGGAAAAAAATCTAGTCAACATTGGTTGCTTGGAAACCCACGCCCCACCAAAAAAAAAACAAACCAAAAAAGCAAAAGAAAAGAAAAGAAATTTGTTTTTTAAACAAGATAGCCAGACAATACCTCATTCGTAAATCTGTTAATATGATATTTGATGTACATAAATATGAACTAGAGCAAACACAATATGTAACTGAACCTTGATTTGGGTCATGCTCAAAAACAAATCAATTAAGAAGGATAAGAATGCATGCCAAGAACAACTGGATGTAGTTATAGAACGGCTACAAGATCAATTGGCAAACGAAACTAAACAAGGGGGAAAAAACGGAGAAGAACTGGTGACAGATATTCATGAGAGGTTTGTATAGATGAAAATTCCAAGCGCTTGATCAAATGTGAATTTGGAAATCACGATTATAATTAGCAACAATAGGCTTCAGTTATTTCCCTGCCATTCTCTGTAAATAGTCAAAGATACGATTTGATTTGATTTTTATGTCCTGTGAAGGACATACCAGAGCTTATGAAGAAAAGTTGGGAAGTGGAATTGTGTCATGCGTATCCGAAGGCAATAGGACCAACGGTTTTCTAGCAAGCCACCCTTTAAGCTTGCCAATGGGACTCCACATTTTGAAAAACATCCTAGAGATCAGGAGCTACATTGAATGAGGGAGCAGCAGGGGTGTCCTTTACCAGAATGTGTTTATAGTTTATGGCACTTAGTTGATGAGATGCTTCTTCCTATCATCAGAGTGATGACGATGATATATTAAAAAAATGATGTGGCCAGGTTTTTCACCATTTATACAAGTTTGCTAGGATGTGTTTATAGTTAGAAGCGCCTAGCTGATGAGATGTTTCTTCCTTTTGTCACCCCCTAAAGAAAAAAGGAGAGATTTGGCTCAGTTGTTCCCCCTTTAGACAAGAACTTCCATAGAATTCAACCTTCATCTGTTTCCCAAGGAAATTTTAAACTAGTTTAGGCTACAACCTACAAATGGAAATTCTCATATGAGAGCTTGCCAGGTAGTAGTCAAAAGACTGACAACAAAGTCAGGTATGAACATAAGGTCATGACATCTATATATTAGCAGTGTTTATATAGTTACAAGGGAAAAAAAAAACAAAAGCCAACAAAAATCACAATGACTGGGCAAAAGCTTAAAGGTAGCCAGTCCTACACTGATAGGGTAAATGAGCCGATAAAATAGTTAAATACAGTCAAGACTAACACTGTCAGACAGGCAGAAAACTATATGAAAAGAACCTCTAACCTCCGACATATGCTGGCTCAAGCTTTCTTCATGGATCCCCCTTGTATACTCTCTATGACTTCCATCATTCAACAAACAACTCCGAACTTTTCCATTGCTGACGGGAGTTCTTCCATCAGTTTTTATTGCTTCAGCAACTCTTTTTGCAGCTTCTTGCAATGCAACCATTGCCATATCATAATTTTCACGAGTCTTTGCTCCTTCATCTACAAATTTCAAGGCCTCATGTCGGAGGGTATTATATCTAACAGTATGAGATTCCAAATAATAAGTATATACATCCGTAGAATGGTCTTCTAATATTACATTGCTCTTGGCATTTCTTGTCCAACGTTTCAATATGTAATGAGATGGGAGAGTGAGCACATTGGTTACTCTAAAGACAGCCAAAACATGTCTGCAAAGAAGACCTGAGAATTCAAACATTTGGCAGCTACAAGTTGCTTTCATCTCCAAAACATTGAATTTAACACAGTATGCTTTATGGTCCTCTCCAAATTTTGCAACATGATATGTAATGACCTCTCCATCATCCTCAGCCTTGGATGCCATGAATGTCAATGTCCCAACTAACTCTTCTTGGAATCTCACGAAAATTTTTCTTGTGTACAGCTCAGATGCTTGTTTTTCCATGGGAGATGGGGTCCTCAATATGGGCAAAGTATTCATTGTGTCATAATCAGCTCTTACTTCTTTCTCATTGCGACTTTCAAGTGCTTTCTCATATAGCTTAAAAAATTGATTCAAATTAGTGGAAGCATTGACATAGCCATCAAAATATGAGTTCATGCTATCGCTTCGCTGAGTTATGGACATTTCTGCAAAGAATGTGTCTCGCAAATACACAGGTACCCACTGCCTGCGGGAAGAATAAATTGACTGAAGCCATTCATGGTCCCTTAGATCATATCTATCAACAAGTGTCAACCAGCAAGACTCAAATTCCTCAATTGACTCAGTCAAGTTAACACATTTGTGAAATTCAGCTTCAAAGTTAGGATGTTTGAGAAAAATGTGAGATAACTTCTCCTGACATTTTTTAAAGATGTGCCACTTGCAGAAACGGTGACGAGTCTCAGGGAATACTTGTATTATGGCTGACCTTAGCACACAGTCAAGATCAGTTGTTATTGAAACTGGAGGACGTCCAGACATTGCCATAAGCCATGTCTTGAAAAGCCATACAAATGATGCTTCAGATTCATTTATCATGAAAGCACAACCAAACAGAACAGGTTGTCCATGATGGTTGACACCAGTGAAGGGAGCAAAGGGTAGCCGGTATCTATTAGATCTGTAAGTAGTGTCAAAAGTGACGGTATCACCAAAAAATGTATAGTTCATCCTTGCTTTAGGATCAGCCCAGAAAACGTTGCTCATGCACTGATCCTCCTCGCCTTGCACAGCATAGAAGAAATTAGGGTTTTCAGCATGCATTTGCCTCAAATAATCCAAAACAAGTTGAATATCTCCTTCCAAACTTCTCTGGCGATTATTCCTCATGTAATTCCGACAGTCAACCTCCGTAAAACCGACTTTGCTAATCCCTCCATACTCTTTAATAAGAGCTGACATGATTCTACGAGGACCCATTCCAGCAGCCTGTAAAGTGTCAATCAGCGTCTTAGCAGCCCCCGATATTTGTCTGTGAGAGCGAAGACAATGCACCTGATCGGGTGGAACCAGTTCGTGGTTATGTTCTCTAACAAACCCCGAAACGATCCACTTGCCAGAGTCGTGCATTTTCACAGACAAGGACGCTTTGCATCCCACTCTGGTGATGGTTCGTGGGCGCTTAATCTCTCTATCCTTGGTGCGTTTCTCATTCAAATTGCGGAAACCCTCCTTTGCGCAAACAAATTGTCTCTGTATAATAGCTCCATCACGCCTGGAACGGCGGGATGAGCTGACACGGGTACTGAATCCAACACGACGTGCATAGGAGTTATAGAAGGCCTTCGCGGCCTCCTCAGACTCGAATTCCATGCCCTCGTAAGGTTCAAGATCCGAGAGGTCACCCTCAGGAAGATATATCTCATTACTACCAATAGCACCTCCACCACCACTGCTAGGAGCGGGGCTATAGGCCAAATCGTCCTCATCAACGGTTTGCTCCATGTCCCCTCCATCATCGTCACCAAGGCCATCTCCTTCTCCTCCCAACCCGATGTCAAATTCAAGAATTTCGTTATCCATAATTTAAATCACAAATTGGAATGGAAGGGGTTCCCAGATGCCAAATGTAAGAATAGAATAGGAATTATATGGGATCCTTATCGAATCCCTTCATCGTATTAGCTCATTAGTGCAAAGGAATAGTGAAAACAGAGTAACTATACAACAGATGAATTTAAAATAGAGACTTCGGGAAAGAACCGACGGTCACAGGAGGACAGACGTATTTTCCCGGGGTGAGCAGTTCTCTTGTTCGGCGGGAAACAGTCCTTCACTCTGCCGGAGGGGCACCGAGTAATTATAACGATTCCGGGTCAAAGTAACCGGCAACTAGACAATATATGCCGATGGAATATCAGGTTTCCTCAGAGTTCCGAATAATTAATTGTTAAATATGCTAATTCAGTCATGGATGTTTTTGGCCAAAAAAAAAAAAAAAGTCATGGATGAGGTGCCAAGGTGGAATAGAGTACGAAGTAGAACGGGAACTGGCCGAAACGAAGGACGCCAGGATAATTTGATTAACGAAGCCCATGCCAGGAGAAGGGCACGGAAGTACCAAATAAGAAAAAATAATGACGAGGTAAAATGGCAACGAAAGTATCTTCCCTTCCCAACCAATAAAAAGGGTTCCTGGGCAAATTAATAATAATAAAAACGTTAAATTTTTTTTAATTTTTACAAAATATATTTTTAGTCATTTTAAATTATTAACAAAAAATGATGATATTGAAATCTTGAATTTTTTTACCAAAGATTTAAATGTTGATAAAATATTCTAAAATACTAATATATTAAATTTAATTTTTAAAATAACCATAATTATTATAAAAAAATTATCATTCAAAATTAATAATTTTAGAATTAAAAATTAAAAATATATTTTTTAAAGTTTAAGCACCAACTACCAACCTAAAACATTTCATAAAGTTAAAAAAAAAAAAACTAACTGTATATACTTTAGCTTAATAAAAATTTGCATTCAAGGACCTGTTTGTAGGAGTTAATATTAAATTTTAAAGTTAAAAAAATACAAATCCCCAAAGTCCAACTAGTAATAACGGGAGTTTGCAAAATAATTATTAATAATGGCAAGTAAAAGTTTAGCTTTGATAACTACTGTCCGCCAAGGATTAGCAGCGACAACTTTAATTATAATTATACATTCAATAGTGATAATAAATTTTCAGAGGATCCCTATAATAATTTGGCAAGAAAACTTAATCTTAAAAGAGTCCTTAGGGATTAACTCATAATTAGCTTATTCTATATGACTAGGACATCCTCACCCATTAAGGGCATGTTTGGCAAGCACCTCAAACCCAAACCATGGTTTGGGAAAAATGCCAGCCAAATAGCTCTTGAAAATATGAAACCATGGTTTGGGAGCAAACCATGGTTTTGAACCCCAAACCATGGTTTTATCAGAAGCAACTCTGATCTGCTTCTCGGCTCCAATTACTGAAAGCTCACGGTGGGCCCATCAACAGATGACCAAATAGCCCCGGCTCCAATTATCAGAAGCAAATCAAATAATTGCTCTTCCTTTCCTCCTTTACGCTTTCCCTAGTTGTTCCAGTGTTTCATTCCCCAGTCATCCACGGTTTTCCTTTCCTCCTTCGCTCTTTCCTCCTTCACAAAACGAGTCGCCGTCCAGCCACAGTTTGAAGGTGCCGGTGAGAGAAATTGCAGCTCTACGGAAGAAGATCGCAACTATCAGTTGTGAGCTCCGGCGCTCAGGTTCGCTGTGAAGCATTCAGCGGTGGTCGGTGTTCCCTAGCTCAGATCCGGCGCTCAGGTAAGGTGGCTCAGATTCGGCGTTTTCTTCTTCTCCATGGCGTCGAAATAGTCCCTACTCTTATCCTTTGCTGACTTTCTCGATGCCTTTGGAGTTTTCATCCTCTTCTGTTAATTTCAATGTCAATTTAGCTCAATTTTCATTTCAGTATTTGTGGATTCTGGATCATATTTGTAATTGCAAATTTGCAACTTGCAAGCCAAAACCAGAGCCGCCTCTGTTTCTTCCTCTACGTGTTGTGACATCGACCTTCTTCTGCTTCTGGGTAGATTTGCTTTTGTTAGTTACAATATGGGGTTGAGCCTGATTTATGGTATTTTCGGTTGGTTTATGCGTGCCATACGACAGAAATTATTCAGTTGGTTTAAGCCTGATATAATCTGTGATTTTTTTTTTTAGTTCTGAGATCTGTTTATCTAGCTCCACATCTCTCTTTACTTCGTTCTTGCTCCTTCACAGGACTCTCATACGCACAAATATACCAAATGCAAATCTTTGTGTTTAATGTTTGAATCATGATAACAAAAATGTTCAACATTCATAATTTCTGTCGCATCACAGTTTGTCGTCTGACCGTAGTAAATTTTTTTTTTTCAATGCTGGCTTGGGGTGTTTGGTTGGTGCTGATTTTGCTTGGTTGATAGTTGTGGCTGACGTTTTGCTTCAGTGGTGGGTTGATTTTCATTCGTGGATTCATTTGTGTAGCTTGGTTTATCTGATTTCGGTTTGCTTCCTTGGTTGAAACCGAAACATCGTGCTACTTTCAGGGATGGTCTTTGCTTTCGAGGTCAGAGCATCAGTTTTCGGTCCATATAGTTGACTAGTTTTTCCAGAGACATATATTTGTAATCCTTATGTTTTATTTTTTTTTAATCCTGTTTTGAATGAAATTATAGGATGTTGTATTTGTGGTAATTAAAATTAATTTATTTAATTTTTTTCTTGTCATGAAAGGAATGGGAACATATTTTCATTTTATGTTGGGTTAAAAAAATTGATTACATGTTATAAATACATAGATTGAATTTCTTTTTGTTTTAAATAATAATGAAGGAAAGAAAAATGTTAATATAGTATTCATAGCTAATTTGGGTAACGATAACACTTGTTATTTCAATTGATTTTGAGTTGATTAACGTGTGATAATTGAAGAGCTGTAATTGTGCTATAGCATAATGGGTAAGGATACGGTGAAAGTTTCCTAGGACCTACGAACCACAAAAGTGTTTATTGACCTGTGCATTGAACTAGTACAACAAGGGGAAAGAAAAGGTACAAGCTTAACAAAGAAAGCTTGAGATATTTTTGGTGATAAGTTTACTGCCAAAACTGGGAGAGTGTACGCAAAAACTCAATTTAAGAACAAATATTATTCCTTGCGAAAAGAGTGGCAGACATGGAATAGGCTGCTTCGTGAGACAGGTTTGGGATGGGATACTGAAAGGAATACTGTCAGTGCAATTGATGATTTGTGGGAGAGGAAAATAATGGTAATTATTGAGCATTTTGATCTTACATTTTCTCTGCCTGTTAATGTTTTTTGTATTTTGAATATTTTATGATATTATTGGTGTTTAATGTGCAGGAAGTTTCAAACTACGAAAAATTCAGAGAAAGAGGACTTCAATTTAGGGATCAATTAACTCAACTATTCGGAAGTGTGGATGCAACCAGATCACAAGCATGGGCACCTTCTTCCATGACACTTCCAAGCGAAGGAGCACCTAATGAAGATTTGGAAGAAGGGTCCAGAGATAGTGATGAAATTTTAGGTGCGTCAACTGGTATAAGTAGGGAATTTAACTCAATGAACTTTAATGAGAATAGTGGAGGTAGTGGGGGCAACACTGAATTGAGGCAGGATAACAGTGGTAGGGGTACAAGCAGAGGCGGGAGTCAACCTAGTAGCTCACTGGGGGTCAAAAGGAAGAGTGAAGTCATAAAGAAACGCACATCTTCCTCTATGAAAATAGCGGATGCACTTAGCAAGATTGTTGAAACAAATATTTCTGAGGCTGAGCATGGAAATGAGGTCGTTTCACAAGTAGAAGCCAGAAGGTTGGAAGAAGAAACATGTGCTTATGAGATTTCAATTAGGGGAGTCCTGTCTCACCTCAAAACAATTCCTGAAGTTGTCAGTGACCCTGATTTCTTTATACGATGCACACAACTCCTTATGGAACGGCTGGAGGCACGAGAAATGTATGCAGCTCTGAAGGATCAGAAGGAACAACTTCTACCCATGTTGGAATATTACACTAGGGATTTATGACTTGTTTATTATATTAGATAGTTCCTTATATGTATTGTTTTATGTGACTAGTGGATTGTTGTATGAATCAGACAACTCTGTAACTTTTATAAATGTTTCGTAATTTCTACGCAAGGATTCTAAAGTTTATGTGTATGTGCACAGGATAAAATGAAAATGGATGCTGAAATTGAACTTGTGGAAAAGCATGCTAAGGGACGAAAAAAAGGGGTTAACAAAGTTGCAGCATTGGTCGGTGCATACGTTACTTTGAACTTGTGTAAAGAGCCTCGACATACAAGTACTTATACAGGCAACCCCAGTCGTTGTTATAACATGTTTAGGATAGAATGGGGCGTGTTTTTAAGTCTGGTGGAAGAATTGCAACAACATGGTCTAAAAGAAACTAAAAATATAAGGATACATGAATCAGTTGCAATGTTTTTACATACCGTTGGCCATGCACTTAGTAGCAGAATGCAATAAGAAAGATTTCAACATTCAGGGGAGACAATTAGCATACATTTTCATAATGTCTTAATGGCATGCTGTAGACTTGTCACGTTAATATCAAACCGAAAGATCCAACATTCCGGCATGTTCATACAAAAATTCGGTTTGGTAAATATTGGCCTTTTTTTAAACATGCTATTGGAGTAATTGATGGCACACATGTTTCTTGCGTTGTCAGCGCAACAAATCAAACTAAATTTATTTCTAGAAAAGAAACAGTGTCGCAAAATGTCATGGCAGTTTGTGATTGGGACATGTGTTTTACTTTTGTCTTGGCCGGATGAGAAGGTAGCACACATGATGCTCGGATATTTGATCATGCCCTCACAACTCCTTCAACGAACTTTCCCCATCCACTTGAAGGTATTTTTTTTATTTCATACATTTTATTTATATTTAGCTTAACAATAAAAACATAATTTACAATCATTTCATTTTTGATATAGGAAAATATTATTTGGTGGATGCTGGATACCCAACACCAAATGGATATCTCGGCCCATACAGACGGGAGCGTTACCATCTGCCTGATTTTTGAAGGACATCTACATTTGAAAATGACAATGAGGTCTTTAATTATTTCCATTCAAGTTTAAGGAGTATAGTTGAAAGAACTTTCGGAGTTTGGAAAAATAAGTTCGCAATCTTACGAAACATGTCATCCTATGACTATAGAACACAAGTTAAAATCATTTGTGCAATGATAGCTATACATAATTTTATTAGAACGACATCTATTACTGATCTTGGATTCGTTCAATTGGAAGAAGAAGGTACTTATGTAGAAGAAGATGATGATGGAGTTGGATTTTCACGCATACATTCATCAATTCAATCTTCATCTTACATGGCTCAAGTTCGTGACAGCATAAGAGACGAACTTGTTAATTCAATACAAGGATAGTAGTCATGTCTTATTTATTTCCTTTTATCATAGATTGTAATATGGAGTTAAAAACAAAACCTATTACAAATGCTTTGTATTGATGCATCATCTTAGTTATTATGACACTTCTTTATTTATATTCTTTTTATTAATATTATACCTTATATTCTCACGCCAGTTATTACTTACTTTAATAATTAATAAATTGTTTTAAGGCGTGTTTATTCAATTTCATCAAACAATATCATCCCATTTCATGTTTATAATCTTCATGAAAAATACATAATTTTCTGTTTACAACAAAATAATTCATCTTCTCCAAAAATATTTTTACTCTTATATTTTATGAATATATATACAAGTGGTGCCAATTAATTAATTGATTATATTAAACATCGGAGGTAGTATGTTATTACAAAAACTAGTTGTGAAAAAATGTTATAAGATTTCATGTTTAAAAGCTTTAAAGAAAATTAATATTTTTCTGTTAGCAAAAAAAAATTCATTTTTCTATAAATATGTTTAATATTATGTTTTATAAATATATATACACATATTAATTATGTTTTAATTATATTATCTTATATATTATTAATTATGTTAGTAAAAATTATTTCATTAACAATTTTATTTCTTCAAATCAAAATATATCATAAAATCTATCCCTTATATAACTATCATATTAACTTATATCCTTTTTGGTAATTTTTACATATAAAAAGTACCTCTGATAATAACTATCCAAACACTTTCACTTCTCAAAATCACTTTTTCACAAAATCTATTTTTCCTAGAATCTATTCTCTAAAAGCTATTCTCCAAACCACGATTTAGGGTGTGTTTGGGATGGCGTTTGGACCCCCAAACGCACATCCCAATCGGAAAAGTCACAGATGGGGCAAAAAACATGTTTGGTTCCACTTTTTTTGAATCTGACTTTTGGGATGCCAATGGACTTCTGCAAGAAGCTATTCAAAGCTGCTTTTACAGGGCGTTTGACAATATCGTTCGAATTTGCTACCTAAAATTTTCTCTCACCTGGGATAAGACAAAACGAGACATAAAAAATATAACAAAGGCCTCCCCAGCGTCTTCTTTATTTTTAATAATACTCTTTTCAGTTTAAAATATAAACTAAATTTTATTTGAATGCACTTAATTTTTTTTATAAGATAATATTTAATCTTGTATAAGTATTTAATGAGGTTTTTTTTTCAATTTTACCTCTATAAATTCTCTTTCTTCTTTAATTCATTTATTACATCATTTTCTTATTCTTTTCATTAATAAAGATATATTTGAAAAAACAAATATATGCCTTACATATTTATTATTTTAAATTAATTTTAACTAGTTTCTTGATAAACATAAATGGATAAAATTTAACTTATATTTTGAACAAGATGAAGTATTATTTTCCTTACTTCTTTTAAAATGGTCACATTATTAAATATGTACTACTTAATAAAATTCATGTCTTTTTAAGTCATTTTGTATCCAAACTTACTTTTACATTTATCATCCAAACAAGTTTCAGCTTCTCAAACTGACTTTTTTCTAAAACCCAATCCAAACATAAATCACATTACTCTATCTGACTTTTACTCAATCTGACTTCTGGAAAAGTCAGATTGAGAAAAAAGTTACTTCTCCACTGTTAATCCAAACACACCATTAGTTTCATCCAAACACTCTCTGAGGCCCCATATGGCTTTCCAGTGCGTTCCCCACCCCCATCTCAACGCCAGTTGTAATATCATGCCGTCTTTTCACCTTCTACATCTTATCATCATCCTGACACGATGCAACCATGTCCTCTCCTCCTTTCCTCCCCCCCTCTCTCCCCTCTTTTTTAAAAAGTGAAATTTAATTTATTAGAAGGCAAGTAAGATGATATAGGGGGTATTTAGCATTACATAAAAGTGCTTCTGAAAAACACTTTTTATAAATCGAGACAAATTCCTCTAGATATTTACTTCGTATACCGTAAAATCATTTTTGAAACTATGATTTGATTTTCATCCAAATACTCTCTAAGAGTTGATGGGTTTCACTCAAAGTAAAACAAGAAGCCCAATGATCATGAAAACTAAACAGTAATACATAACGACCACAATTGAAGCAAGGAAAAGGTTAAGTGAGAGCTTGAAACAAAAGCTGAGGCACATCCTTAGCCATAATGCTGTAGAAAAGAAGACCAGCGCAAGCAAGGACTGAGGCAACTACTTGTGTAACTAGCACTAAAACCAACAAGAGGGACTCAGCTCGCCAAATTGTTGAACTAGGAGATGAACAGAGGTGAAGAACAAGTGCACACGGGATGGAATAGAGAAGACGGTGATAGGGAGACAAGGTGATGGGGGACGAAACAGTGAAGGAGATGCAGAAAATGCGATGGAAGACGAAGACAGTTGAATCGATAGAAAGTAGAATAAAATCAATAGAAGACGAAAAGCAATTAAGGCGGTGAAGGCAGTGGTAATTGGGTAGGACTGTGAAACAAGGGACAACAGGTGAAGCACTAAAAGGTGCCAATACAAGATGGTGGTAGAGTGCCAAGAGATGCTGGGAAAACGATAGATGCGACGCTAGTGAGAGAAACGAAACGCTCTCCGCAAAGTCCTAGTCTCTAAAAATTTCAAACTTGACCCAATAGTTCATGTCCTCCCTTCTATTAGTGGTGAGGCACCACTTATAATATTTTTAATTCTTTATTTTGTATCGACTAAGAATATGAACATTATAAAAATAATGTGATCCAAATGAAAACCTTGTTATTATGACGACGATCAGGAATTCCATTACATATCTTAAATAATTTGCTCACCGCAAGTTAATACTTTAGGACCGGAGGAGTACATAGGATTGGTGGTCGGGAAAAAACCCAATTTGATATGTTTGGAGTGAAGGATTTGTCTTTAGCTTAACATCCTCATAAAATCCCAGTCTCTCATGGGATTGAAAATTTCCTAATGAAAATACCCTCATAAAATCAGTACACTTTCATCTCCATTGCCCTTAATTTCTAATCTGCATCGTGGTCTCCATTGCCCTTCTTTACCGACCCTTGCTGTCTGACTTTCTCCTCCACCAACCCTTGTCCAGCTTCTCCTTGTCTCCCTATTGACCTTGCCAGCCTCTTTGTTGTGGGTACCTCTTGTTGCCGGTAAAGTGAAGATCTAGCAACCTGCATCCAACCTTGACCCTGCTATGGTGATGACCTGCTCCACTTATCGATTGACCATTGTTGTCTTGCCCAGCCAAGGACACATCTTCAACTCTCCTCTAGCCCCTTATCATCCTAGATTTGGCCATCAGGTACAAAGCTTCAAACCCTCTTATCATCCTAGATTTAGCCATCTACGACAAAGGTTCGAATCCTCTTTTCAAACGACTTGTCAGATGTCTATGACGTTATTGAAGAGTAAGAAGCTAAAAAGAAATTATCTTTTGACTGCTAATGTGGTGGGTTTGTTGTTAGTTTTGAATTGGATGATAATGAAAGTTTGTTGTGATTTTAATTTCTGAGTAGTTGAGAAGGAAATGATAAAAGAACCAATTTTATTTTTTCCTCAAGAGTTGCAGACTAACGACCAGGGAAGTGCAGGCACATGGAGGGATATTTTTTTTGTCAATTTTTTCAAAAAAACAAAAAGGTTGACGAGTTTATTATAGTCTTTTAAAAGTATGATCACATGCATAAATAAAAATTATTCAAACATTCTCATGCCATGCCAAACATGTTTTTTAAATTTATTCTCACCACTCAAAAAATTATTCCCATTTTCATTCTTATTCCCAATCACACTCCCCTTTTTTTCATAATTCACATTGCCTACCAAATAGGGCCTTAAGATGGTGAATTTTTTTTAAAAAAAGAAAAATGAAGAGTTTACACATTTGACTTGTATAGGACCAAAAACCTCTTTTCTGGCTCTCGGTAATTTCCAGCAAAATTACTATTCATGACATCATTACCATGTTTTCCTCCAATACCTTTCATAGTTCAGTAAACAGCAGCACCGATAGCACACGACACGCTACCCATAAAGGTGCACTGTTCCAGCAGTGACCAGCATTCGTGCCTCAAGTGCCAAATCAGACGATGACTTCTGTTAGCATGTCAGCACAGGGGAAGATAACGTAGCCTCTAAATTCAAGCAGACATGCTGCGGGTGACCTTGAATAGGGAGCGTTACAACGGCGCAATATTTGATCCTAGCCTCATTTTCACATTAGCTGGAGCACAATATGGAACTCAATCGAGTTTGCTGAGGCATCACAGACTCAATCGCATCACCCACCTATTGTCTATTCGGAGATCTTCACGGAACTATATCATAATAAAATCTGAGGCAATAAATTGGTAATTTAGGGAATTCACTTTAAAGGAGCCCACAACGACTCGAATACAAAGGTGCAGCATTGGCAAATGGATGGCAGAAGCCCCGCCTATCTTTGCATCTTCCCGGCGGAATGCAGATATATTGCAACAGAGACAACACTGAAAACAGAATAAACAAATAATAAATTTAGACATAGAAAAATAAAGAAAAGCATGATTCACATTTTTTTTTGGGTACTATTCCAATAAAAGCTTTACCCTAACCACATCAAGACCGCCATCAAACTAAAGTTTAGTGAACCAGAGCTACCAAGATCCTATTAATCTCAACATTTTAAATGAAATTCATATCATGTGATGCATTGGCATTGCCCTCTATTCACTATTTCACGGACAAGCTACAGCAGAGGACAAAATTTCAATCATAGACTCATCATACACCGGCACAAAGCAAGCACATTCACAGGGTAAGTAACAGCATCTTACATTGTGCCAAGGAAGAAGGCAAGGGAGAGATGGAAGCCAAAGAGAAAAACAGAAACCACCGCAGTAAGTAGCATTGCCACTGAAGTAGAATACACCTGCATAAAGTTGGCAAGCTGAGGAGAAATTGAATTTTCAAACGTGTAACTGTTGTTACCGGTGATGGCTATGATGATGTTTGAATCAGGATATGATATGCTAATCTAAGAGAAACAACCAAGTTCGCATCTAGATCCTATTTGACGCAAAATACTCATTATGATACGGCTTAAACAACAAATAAAGATTAACAAGGTCCCTCTGCAAAACTGTACATAGCATTATACCAACCACACAATCGAGTGGGGAAAAGAAACTCTCGCACAACATCTAGATGGAAGTAATGATGGTGATCAAATGAAAAATTATACAAGAAGTCTTGTCATTGTACTCTATTATCAACCAACTCTTCAGATATATTGTTTACCAATAGGTCCCATTTAATTACTTCCTCAAGCGCCTTTCTTAGTTTTACCCCCACCAATTTTCCCTACCATAACAAGTTTTTTGTTCTTGTCCCTTCAACGTCCAACATTCTCTACCATAAAACATTGCTAGTCCTATAATAGTTCCATTAATCTTTCCTTTAAACTCAGTGGGTACTTTGTCATTGCAAACAACTTTTGATGCCTTTATCTATCTCAACCACCCAGCTCATATCTTATTGCATAACCATTCATCAATTTCACCACTATTTTGTAATATCTAGCTCAGATACTGGTACTTTGACACTTCTGGCGTGATACGATTACTGATTTTGACCTTCAAATCATTTCTAATTGGCCACAAGTTAAATTTGTAGTCCACAAATTCCATCTTACTTGTAAGGCAAAAACCTCTTGATTCCAAAATCCATCTCCATGACTCAAATTTGGACGAAATTCCCAAGTGCATTCACTTTGCAGATGATATGGTCCTAATTGTCAAGTCATGAGGAACATATTCCTCGCTTGAAAAAAAAATGAGGCGAGAAAGGATGGGAACAAATTTTATTTGTAAAAGCTTGTAATTTACCAGCTCACTCCCTAAACTGAATAACATAAAGTTTATACAGGGCAATAGAGGAATGTTGAACATAGAGGCTTTTTTCCCCTTCTCCTTATTTCTCCCATTTCAAACGAAGGAAATGCAACTCTCTTCCAAGTCATCCCTTCCCATCTCATCCACTGCCTTTTCACTCCATTGTTTCCATAATGTCTTAACAGTAGATCCTTTTGTGGTTTATTGTTGCTCTCCACGATTATTGGAAGTGCTAAACAACAACATTGTACTTCTTTAGGACCAACATTGGGGTTTTGGTGGATTGCAAAGGAACGCTTTCTGGTGCTACCAATCCTATTTTTTCGTGCACTTTTTAGCCATGTGACAAATTCGTGTCTTTCATGTCCATTTATAAGTCTTCAGATCTGTTTTGTGACGTCAAGATTTTCAAGAACCATTTCTTATGGCTCATCATGTTGCATCGGTATGGCAACCAGGCAAAGCAAATTTTTTTTAAAAAAAATAAAAATACATGTAACGTCAAACAAATTTATACCAAATAATATACAAATAATATATATAAAAAATATTTTTACCATAAAACATTCTATAAACAATTATAGGTAAACAACAACAGCAGCAACAACAAGATGACCTTATCCTAGAAAGGGTCGCTAGACATAAAAAATGCAACAAGTCAATTAGACAAAAAAAAATCTTGGGTGGCATTTGTGGCTGCAAAAGAACCATGTTCACCACTAGTGAATAAGTGAAGATCCACCAATCAGCCCTCAAACAAAACCATTGCTCTAAAAGTTCAAACCTAAGGTCAGCAGATGCTAATATTAAATCGAAGTGAGGTGATCCTAAAACCTAGCGGCCAGAGAGCATGCTTTTCAAATATTAGAATGAAGTATTAACAGAGCCCACACCTATTCAAAGCTTTTTATTTGTTTATTTGGATAAAGGGTACTTACCCTACTACTACTGCCATGGATGTGCCTACATCGGTATGTCTCACATGCATGTAACAAGGAGTTTTTTTGTTTGTTGTGTTTTTCTTACTGTCTTTCCTAGGGATGATGCCTTGTACTCCTCTTTTACTGTACCTATTATTTCTCCTTTCCAATAGTTGTCTTTTTTACTCAACAAACTAATTACACGAAGTAGCAGACATCTCAAAATATTGACAGTCGTAAAACCATGTCTTACCTTCACAATGTTGTCAGCATACTTCATTACCATTGATACAGCAATACCACTGTAAACAGAAAGAGCCTTGTAACCACATACTATCAATGCACAGTAGCAAAATGAAAATTGCATAAATGCGATAAAATAACAAGGACTTTTCCACGGGTTCCCTTATTAAGAGAACTATTTGTGCAAATTTTTTTTTTTCGTAATAGAGGACGGTGGTGATCTGTGTAGCATGTACAACTCAACTCAAAAAAGGAGTCGTGCTCATGCCAATTACATATCAAAATTTGTATTAGACATGACAGGACACTCCAAATTGCACCAGGCGACATCAAATTTTCTTGGGGGCAGTTTCCATCTTTGTGTCAATGTCCATGCTTCTCAAATGAGAATTGACGTACTAAATAAGTTCATGTCTCTTGTGCACAGTGTAATAGAGATTAGTGACAGACTGTTAGAGAAAGAGGGAGGACTTGGTGATTAGAAGAACAAGAACGTAATAATGACCACAGCTTCCAGTCACCCAAAAAAAAAAGAGACCACAGCTGTAATCGTTGAAGACATCAATGAGTTTAGCTCATGTAGGACCTGTTTGGGTGCTCCCCAAAACCATGGTTTGGGTGGGATGTCACCCAAACAGCATCAATTTTAGAAAAATAATCTGAAACTATGGTTTAGGCCAAAACCATGTTTTCAAGAGAAGTGAATCCAATTTGCTTCTGGCTCAAATTAGAGAGTATGATTGTATCTGTGAGAGTAGATCTCAACAATAATATGACTTTAACATCCCCCAATTATTTTTTATAAACATATTTAATCTTATATCTTATAAATATATACACACATATTAATTAATTATTAATCATATTATCTTATGTATTATTAATTATATTGGTAAAAAAAATATTATTAACAATTTTATTTCTTCAAATTAAAATAAATCATAAAATCTATCTTTTATGTGACTATCATATTAACTTATGCCTTTTTTAGTAATTTGTATATATAAAAAATGCTTCTGATAACAACTATCCAAACACTCTCACTTCTCAAAATTACTTTTTAACAAAATTTATTCTTCACAAAATCTATTCTCCCTAAAATCTATTCTTCAGAAGCTATTCTCCAAACTATGGTTTGGTTTCATCCAAACACCCCCTTAGTAGCAATTGGTCCTTTGTGCATCTAATAATTACTGTTACATCTTATTGATGTTTCACAACTCCACTTCCATTAGTGCCATCCATCGATTTATGCATGTAGAGGATCCTAACAGTTAGGCAAACAAAACATCAAGGCAAGTATGAACACTAAGGCAAGAATCATAGTTTTCAATGACAATTTTTTTAAGCTAATCAAGAAACAGAATATACCTGAGCGCATGGTTGAGAATCATGAGAATGGTGATTAAAGAATATCCATTGAAAAACCCCCTGAATATAGACAGCTTAATATGTCAGGCAAATATTATTGATGTGACAAGAAAAGCCTTACAACTACATCACCAATAAGGCAGATTTATTCTCAGTACTTCGTATTGGTTACCTGAATTTTTACCACCCAAACATATGCATTGAAGAACCGGAGGTAAAGTATGCTTCTATTAACCTTACTTGATAATAATCCTAGATTACAGAAGGTCTTATATTTTCTAAGGTACATAAGATATTAACAGAAGATAGCTGACCTAGGATATACATAATTAAAGAAATGATAAAACATAAGCATATATCAATATGCATATGCATAATAAATGTTGTTCCATCGTGAAATAGAGAAATAATACTACTTGATGATGCAAATTGATATATGGTAATAGTAGTACTAGGGGTAATTAATTAAATAGGACGAGGTAGTAGTCTATAAATAAGGTACTGGAGGTTGTATTAGGCATCTATTGAATTGAATATTACTCTTCTACTCTTTTGCTCTCCTCTAATGTTATCAATGGCATCAGAGCTAGCCTTCTGGCTGCCGCTGCCACCAACGGACACCGGAAAATCAATCCTCCCAGCACTCACTGCATTGCCCCAACTGAAGCAGGAAACGACTCTATTAGAGTATCAAGAACAATTTGAAACTCTTCCGTCACACATATACTTATTAGAATCAACAACCATCGACATCTTCATTAATGGACTTTATACAGAGATCCAAGGAGTTGTTGCCTTCTTTACATCGACCACTCTTGCTAGTGCGATGCGTTTGGCTAATTTTCAAGACCGATATGGACCACATAATTGAGAACCTAACAAGGAACACAGAATAGGCGAGCAAAAGGAGTTCAAGATTCTGAATCATGCCGTACTTGAAGAAATAGAGGAAGTATTTGGTGAGATTTCTAATCTCAACATTGTTGTTCTTGAAGACACGAGCGATACACTTCTAGAAACAGAGGTTGCGGAGGATTTGAAGCTGAATGCAGCTGATTCAAACAACAACATGCCATCTAAAAATGATGATGTTGCTACAGACATGAACGATCTGATTCTAATCGATGAAATTTGACGCTAATGATGAAGGAAAAATGAGAATAATGAGAAGATGGAAGCAAATCAAGAATTGTTAATATCAAAGCCCATGCTAAGTCGCAAGGTTGATGATAGTTTTTGCCGCAACTATGGTATACTTTGTTTGTTATCATCGACAATCCTTATTGACGCACCCACTGCTGCACCTTTGACCCACTCGCACTTTGCATGAGAATGCACGTCCATCCTTCTTTGTTCACAAGATGTTGCAAACGGCTTCTTCATTTGCTGCTCAAGCAACCAATTTTGGGGTATCTAGTTCTTCTTCCATTTTGGACCCTAAGTCTTGCTCACTTCTACAATCGCTAAGGGACAAATCCCACCTGCAAGTCCAAGTCGGTACTGCTTCTGTGTTCAATGGATTTTCTCTTCTGCCTACCCCGTCTTCACATTTGTTGAAGTCCACAGACCAGATTTCATTCATTAAAGAAAGGAAGATTTGTACTAGGCTCTTATCTGTGCAGTTTGCCCTTGGAACCAAGATCGCAACCTTGAGTCCAGGCTACTACATTATTGTCATTTCTGATACAATCAACAGGAGCTCTAGCAATGCTACTGACGTGAAGGTTTCTATGAAGGTGAAGTACTTCGAGCTGGTCACCCTGAATAACATGACAATATTCGTTATTGACAATCTATCCATCTTGTTCAATTCAGATTCTTATATCAGCTTGCCGAATCATTACTTGACATTTACGAACTTTGAGAAGCCGGTGGGAACGCCTTTGCCAACACTAGAACAAGGACAAATGTTGCTCATCACTACCTCTAGTGGAGGCTAAACCTTAGCTTTGACAAGGATTAACCATGTGAGCCAAGAACGACTCAAGGATGAATCAGGTTGGGGAGAATCTGTTTTTGGGTCAAATAGGAATGCTGATGAAGACAGATTGGGTAAATCTATTGAAGAGGCAAGAGAGGTTGGGTCTTTGTGCGTGCTTCTAGAATCTTCTTCAGCCGCATATATGGAGTGGTCCAGGTTTTCAATTTTACTTTGACTTTGGCTAGTAAATGTTTTCACGTGGCAGCAAGAAAAATCATGGGCTCAACATAGGTGCAGTTATGACACATTATTGAGATGAGGTTTGGGCTCCTCAAACATATATGGGCTGGAGCACCTTTGGACTGATGCTGCGCATACAATTTTTAAAGTTTCAGCATTGGGTGTAATTTGGGCTTAAATGGACTATGACAATGCGGCTTCTGGACTACGGGAATATTGCAGCAAGTTGGACGAAAGGACTACTGTAGGAGGCTTATGTTTTGATGCCCATTAATTTTACTTCCAATTTCTTTTCCTTTTATAAATCTGCAATTATGATTTAACCCCCCCAAAAAAAAAGAGTTCAAGTGTGTGTGTGTGTGTTTTTTTTTTCCTACTGTCTCTGTACTGATCCTTGAGGGCAGGGATCTTTTTCTTGGGGGGAGTATATTGATACGCCCTAATAGTAGTACTAGGAGTAATTAAATAAGTAGGAAGGGGTAGTAGTCTATAAATAAGGTACTGGAGGTTGTATTAGGTGTCTATTGAATTGAATATTACTCTTTTACTCTTATTCTCTCCTCTACTGTTATCATAACTACAATAACTAGGAGAAAGAACAGAGAAAAAAGATCAAAATCTAGTGCAAAACCAGAGTCAAGAAGATAGCAGATTACTTGTTCATCACTGCATCAAAATCTTGAATCAATATGGCAACAGCATTGAAGGCCATGCCAAAGATATACAACCAGAAGTTTTGAACATTAATGTTTCTGGAAGGACGCTTCTTAATAATAGCCTGCAAAAGTCATAAAAAAGCCTGCTAAATACTAGTTCTCATTTAGAATCCTCAATTCCATCCCAGCCGTAGTAATATTAAAACGCTTGTTCTAGGAAGATCAAAATATCTATTGGCAAATCAAATTTAGCTTAATAACGAACCAAGTTATATAGGCTCATAAATTATTTGAACTCTAAACAAGAGTTTCAATTTTTCTTTTTTTTGGCCAACACAAGAGTTTCAATTCTAAACGACATAGTTATATCAACTTATTAACCAACATTTCACCTCCGTATATACTCCTGCAAAACCACTCAAGAGCGCCATGATCTGCAGGAAAAGAACTCATCGTGAGGAGATATTCTAAAACCATAAATTTATAAGTTAGGCTTTTTACATATATAATGAGACAAATATCAACAACTCACGATGGCCATAATCCAACCTTGAAAGGGAGTTTGAAGAACACGATCAGAACTGAAAAAAACAATGTGATTTCTTGAGATAAAAATACAACAAATAAAACATATTTCTAAAGAAAACTAAACAAATATACCAGAAGAAGATTGCTTTGGTCCACAAAACAAGCACAGTACATGAAAATAGTTATTCACTGAATATCCAAATTTCTTCCGTGGTTATGCTTGCTCTATTATTAACTTACCATTCATAAATCACTAAATTTTGCACATTGGTTAGTCATGAACATGTGATTTACATGTATATCAGATTATCAGGGGAGAACATCTATACATCAGGCACAACTGCACAAGGATGAATTAAGGTTAATAAAATAAACATACGTTGGCTGAATGCCAGGGTTCAATAACTCTTACTTTGTATTCAACTGAGCAGTGGTGCACCCAGCACAGAGTAGAATAAAAGCAGCCCACTGAATCTCACTTAACCTGAAATATAAAATTAGCAGATCAGAATACACAACAGCCTCAGTACCCATGACCTTGGATACGATCAAGTATGACTTTATATTAAATATTATATTATTCTAACAGTTAGAGTGATTCAGCCTCAGGACGAAAGAATAATTGCAATAGTTATGCTCTTCAAAGCTTCTATGCCAAAAATACAGGAGAAAGCTTTCCTTTGTGCAAGCATAAAAGTGACTTAACAGATAGACCATATGGTACTCCAATGATCCTTCACCAACAGTTTCCACAATGAAAGGGCAACCAAAAACTTATTACAAAAGACCTACCTTTTCTTAAGAATAATCCTGTAAAGGATGCCAGTACTGATGATGTTTAAATTCTTCAATATTTGATAACCAGGAGCATCTACATATGCAAAGATGTAATACTGCCATAAAATTGACACATAAATCAGATTTCAGAATGCTACAAAAGTTCTATACACAATAAACAGCAATGAAGAATGCACTGTTGCCAGTGACACAACGAACCTGGAGCAAATTTTTAACCAGGTAAAGAGCTGCTGGAATGGGATACACTATAACTTCATCTAATGTTGTGGTCAACCTAGGTTAAAGGTAGAAAATATAGACTTAATAAAAGGTGAAGTAGCAAAAGTCAAAACACAACAGGAAAAATTAACTCATCGCAAAATGAAAGATTTACAAATTCCCATTTCTCACCCCTTCCCCTATTTTATTTTGTTTTATTTCATTTTTAGAAAGAGAGTCACTGACATATCAGAACATCCAGAGGAACCTGTATCTTAAAAAAATTAGTATTAAAAAATAAAGCAAAGTGGTGGCATACAGAGGTATATAAAATTTAAACTGTTAATGCCATCTAAAAGAACAATAGTTTAACGGCTAATAGAACATTAACAGCGAACACAGTATAAAACCCATGGAAATGATTTCCTAGCCCCAAAAGCTACCTCAAAAGATCATATTCATTAATTCCCTTGCACTTGCTTCTTCATTGTAAGTAGTAGCAGCAGTGAGTCAAAAATCAAATTCAAAAGGTGGGCAAAGAACATAATACTCTAGCCCCAAGGTGGGCAAAGAACATAATACTCTAGCCCCAACTATGTCAATAAGTATTGTTTGCAAATTTACAAGCCTTTGTAAACAGATTTTTTCGCTGCCACTATATCCCCAGCCAAGCACCTCACAAATGAACTGCAAGTAAGAACATACAAGGAAATCTGAACAGAAAAAAACAGAGGTCACCTGTTATCCTCAGTAACGCCTTCTGTTCTCCATATTTTTCCTAAGACTATGAGGGATATAGCACATTTCAAAGTCTCCACCTATAAGGAAAGAATAATCATGCTGGTCTCTGATATAAATGAAATTAGGGAGGTTCAATCTGAGAGATTAGCAACGTTTATGAAATGGAAATATTATCAAATGTTGCCCCGTCTCACCAAAAAGTTCGCAGTAGTCACGCTATACTCATATTTGCCAGCTCTTTTGGACCAAACAATAAGGATGGCTTGTGAACTTGTAAGAACAGTCAACGCAAGAGTAACGACTGACCTATTTCAACAGGGGCAACGTGGTAAGAAATCAACTAGGAATTTTATTTGGCCTCCAAAAATAGTCATATGAACAGGAATTATAAGAGAAAAACCAAGGTCGTACTTGCGTTTCCACTTTGCTCTGTCAATTCTTGATTCTCCTATAGCGGCCACATTATCTAGGATTGTAGAAAGAAGACAAAAGCTTACCCAGAAAGCTTACATAAGATAGATCTTAACGCAACTGGAAGCAGCATTATCACAGTTTAGTCAAGGTTAATGAGAGAATGAGGAGGTGAATGAAAATCAAATACCTGAGAGCGAAAGTGGTTTTCCACGTAATTTCTCAACATCTTCAACGCCCGCATCTCTATCGTCATCCTACGACGAGTGTTTCCAAAGTACAAAAAAAATTCAGAATTCAGAATCCAGAAATGCATAGAGAAACATCACGAAATTGATTAATCCCAAAGGAATGCTCAAGCTATTTCCTTATTAATGAATAAAGCTAAGCATTAAGCGCAGGAACTTAAAGCTCAAATGCTAGTAGGCAGATAAAGTATGTGGAAAAGCTTCAAAAATTAGCGGAAAAGAATGTAAGACAAGACTAGTAATACCTCTCCTTTGATTTTTCTGTACTCCATTTCTTTTCTTGTTTACTTCCGATAATACGGAGATCTACAGTTATACCTCGGAGAAAGAGTTTATCATGCTAAACGACTTCTTGGGTTGCCGGATCCCAGGGGAGGTTGCCTGTTCTCTCTGGATCCGTTCGTGCCGTGACGGTTAACACGAGTCTGGCTTCTTTCATTTATTTGTTTCATCCGCTGCTCCTCCTTTGCTTTAAAACTACTTCGTTTTGATGCTTTGCGCTTGTAATCAACATGAAGGGCGCATTAAAGCGGGATAGGAAAATCAGAAAGAATTTGTTTTTCAGGGTTCTTGTAATCAATCAATTTCCTGTGTGAAAAATATCAAAAAATTTGATAAATTAAAAGGTATAAAGTTTGTTAATGAAGTATTTTTTAGGTGCATCTAAGAAATTAATATTTTAAGAACAAAATTACACAACAAATACTTCAAAATGTTAGATGTACGTAAAAAAAATATTCCAGGATCTTGGACACATCACAAAATATTTGGGATACTAATCACACCTGACAAAATGACAAAATACTTCAGGATGCTTAATCAACCTTAACACTTATTATTATACTCCTCTGATCCTTAATATAGGACCTAATTGTTGAGTTGATTTTGCTTCTGAATATAAGACTTATTTCTCATATTTATCAATTTTTCCTAAATTACCCTTATGAATACTCCCTCAACCATAATTAAGTAAAAGAAGAAGAGGGGATATTAAAGAAGATGATTATGGTATTTTAGTAAAAATATGTTATATTTCTTAGAATTAACTAACTTACCTAACTTCTTTAATTTAATCAAATTAGTTAAATAGGTCTTATATTAAGGACCAGAGAGTAAGTTTTTATAATATAATAATCAATAAGATATATAATTAATTATAACTTATTACCCATATTAACCATATATTTTGAAAGTGATTACTGATTATATATCTTATTAATTAGGGAAGTGTCGCATTTGATACCTTGATATTATTTTTGAATTGCATCAAACACCCTAATCTTATTTATGGTGCATCTAGCATCTCAATAACATATTTTAATACTCTAATCTTATTTATAGTACATTCAATACTATAAATCATAAACAATATTAAAGTGTTTGATTAATTAAATAATATCAGGAGTGCTAAATGCATCCAGAAAATAATATTAGGATGCTAGATACACATAAAAAAAATTACGGTGTTGGATGACATTTACCCTATTATTTTTTTTCAACGCTGCTTTACCCTATTAATTATTATATGTCTTATTAATCACTAGTTTTCTTAAAAGTTATAATTAACTGTACATTTTATTAATTATTATATAATAAAATTTTATAATACTACCTCCGGTCCTTAATATAAGACCCTGTTTGACTTTTATTTTGGTCCTAAATATAAGACCCCAATCCACTTTATCTCTTATATTATGTATTTTTTCCTAAGGTAGTCTTTCTAATAATTATAGTTCTAACCAATATAGTTGATTAGTGAGGATATTTTAGGAAAGACAACACCTATTTATTACAAATAACTAATTTAATTCCTTTCCTTAATCTCTTCAAATTAGTCAACTGGGTCTTATAATTAGGACCGGAGGTAGTAGTAATAATAAGCACATAAAAAGAGAAAAAAAGTCTGATCTAAAAGAAATTTAAAGTGATTATTTTATATAAACTGAATATATTATTTTTAAAAAGATATCTAAAAACTAATTTTTCATTAAGAGGGCTGTATACTTTTTAATTTATCAATATGTTTATATGTTTCCTATGGGAAATTGATTACAAGAATACTCTAAAACTAATTTTTTCCACTTTCCCATTCCGTTTTAGTGCATCAACACTCCGGTCAATTTGAGGGAGTAGTTTCTATGCTCAGCGGGTGATGAGCGCCGATGGCTCATCGCCCGCTGTGCACCATTTCATTTAAAATTTAAATCATGGGGGCACGCTTAATGCCAAACGATGTCGCTCCCCATGGCTCTTCAAAGAAATGCCTTTTGTCACACCATTCATGGTATAACCTTCGGTTATTGGCACCAACTCTGGGAAGGAAAGAGTTTCTGATTTCTGCCATTGAAGATTAGAAGAAGGTTGAGTTTCAGAGCAAGAAAGATTTCAGATTGAAAACTAGTGTTTGACCTTAGACCATCCTTTGTAATTGACGAAAAAGCCACCGAATTGCAGCTGAAAAAAGGACCTCTGCGAGAAAGCATCGGAGGTTTCATCTATTCTATCCTTCATGACATTTTTCAGTATTGCCATATTTTCTAATAATCATATTGATATATATTACACACACACACGTATTAAAATGGGGTTCACATGTGGGTTATTATATGCACACACGTGTTTATATAAAACTGAAATTTCAAGTGGCTCATAGGTGGGTTTAGTTTTTTCATGTATTATTTGAGTAAGCTGAAACTCATATTTGTATTTTCATTTGAAGAATGATTTTTGCAAAATGATTGTTTTTTCCCCCTCTATATTTGGAGTTAATAGAAAAGTGGAAATTCTTATTCAAACTTATATTACATAACATCTTATATTTGCAAGATGATATTTTTTAAATTTTGACTTTTTTTATTGTGTATAGGAACCATATAATGAAAGATGAACTTAAACTCGAAATAGGAAGAGTTTGAAAGTTTGGATGAAGCTTGGAACTTCTGGAATGAATATGGGAGGAAAATTGGGTTTGGAGTTAGAAAGCATAATGGAACAAAGAGCAAAATAGATGGTTCTATTATTACATATAGATATGTATGTTGTAAGGAGGGTGTTCAAAAAAAAAAGAGAGAGAGACAACCTCTTCTAGATATTGGCCAGAGATAAGAACTAATAGCAAGGCAACAATGACTGTATCTCATGTAAAAGGAAAGTTCAAAATTACCAAGTTTAATGAAAAACATAATCACCCTCTTCATACACAAGAAACAGTGCACTTGTTACCATCACAGACAAATTTATCAGAAGCTCAGGTTCATGAAATAGATCTTGCAAAACAATCTGGGCTTGAACCTCAAGAAGCATTTGACTTGATGAGTACATATATTGGTGGTCAAGAAAATCTTGGTTATACCATGACAGATGCAAAGAACTATTTGATGAACAAAAGATGAAGACATATGAAGTTTGGAGAGGTGGGATGTCTTCTTGAATATTTTCAAAAACAAATTGGGGAAAATCCTTCATATACCACAAATACCAATTAGATATGGAACAACAAGTTACTAATGTATTTTGGGCAAATGCTTATATGTTAAAAGATTGTGCACATTTTGGTGAGGTCATAACAATAAACACGACATATAGTACAAATAGGGATCATTGACCCCCTGTACTCTTTTCTAGTTTTAACCATTATAGAAGTATGGTGATCTTCGAAGTAATGCTATTATATGATGAGACCATCGAATCTTTTAAGTGGCCATTAGAGACTTTTTTGGACGCTTACATACAAAACAGGCCTCAAAATGTGTTCAATGACTAGGATCAAGCAATGGCTAGAGCATTGAGTGAAGTACTTCCTAATACAAGACATTGTTTGTGTACTTGGTATTTGTTGCAAAATGGTATTAAACACCTTGGGAACTTGATGAAAAAAGGTTCACACTTTTTAACTAACTTCAAAAAAATACATGTTTGATTATGTGGATGTGGCTAAGTTTGAAGAAGCATTGAGTGAATTATTATCTTCTTATAATGTCCATGAAAACAGCTAGTTGAATTCCACTTATAACATTAAGGAAAAATGGGTGAGCTGTTAAATGACGGATGCTTTCACACTAGGAATAAGAAGCACACAAGTTAGTGAAAGTGGAAATGCTGATGTGAAGAGATGTACAAAGCCAAAATTAGATATTAATCGATTCTTCAAGAGGTTTGACAAAGTTATAAAAAAGAAATGATACAAAGAATTGGAACTTGAGTATGAGTCTCGGCAAAAGATACCAATGATGGTCAATCAAAGTGCACCTATCTTGCACCAACTTGTGAGATCTTATACCCCCACTGCCTTTGATATGTTCGAAGAACAATAGGATCTCCAGTTCTCTATAAAGTTAATTGAACTTAAAGAGAAAGAACCATTGTTTATATACATGGCCCATATGATAGATGAAGAGGGGAAACGGAGAATTGAGTTTAACCCTCACACACATAAAATTTGTTTGCAATTGTCGAAACTTTGAGACCACAAGTATATTGTGCTACCATGCATTGAAAATATATGAGTCCAAAAATGTAAGACTTATGCCTTAGCAATATATTCTCAAGCAATGGACTAAAGAAGCAAGGAATGTTGTACATGATGTCAAAGAAAATGAGATACAAGCATATTCTAAACTTGACACAACACGAAAATATAGACAACTATTGCTTAGTATGGTACAACTGGTATCACAGGTTTCTAATAATCCTGAGAGATTTACTCATGTTTAGAGATGTATCATTAAGTTACAAAAAGAGTTTCCTCATAAAAATGAAAATTATGCTTTTAAACCAGTCATAGAGCTACAAAATGTAGGACTGAGCAAACGGTTAATCGGTTTCGGTTAGTGTTAATAACCGAATAACCGAAATGATGATAATGAAGAAACCGAACCGAAACCGAATATAGTGAACTAACCGAACCGAAATAACCGAAATATATTCGGTTCGGTTAGTGGGCTTATTCGGTTACTGGGCTTTTTATTGGGCCTTTTTTTTTTTCAGGTGCCATTGCAGCCCAATACGCACAAAAGTCTGAATAGTGGGAAAAAAATAATTTTTGGGCTCTTTTTGTACAAAGAATCTAGATATTTGAAAAGTGTAATAAAAGTTTTAAATTCCAAAATCAAATATATTTTATTACACACTACATATATTGTGAGACAGAATAATTATTAAAAAGTCAATGACAAGTTATAAATATGCAATTACAATTCTTCTAAAATTTAATATCCTTAAAAACACCACAACACCTAAAAAATTGTAAATATGTTAGAAGAACCATCATGAACCATTGCAGATATCAGCTGAACATAAAACAAATACAAAATATCAGCATGGAGAAAGTTCTCACATCCCAAATAACAACCAACTCTCTCCTGAAACGGTGAAACCCCATCACATCTACGGCTTGTACAAATTAGGAGCAGATATTAATTGTAATAGAGAGAATACAAACTAAAATTGCCCCAACT